AAGGTTCAGGAGCTATTGCTAGAGTTCGAAATATTAGGAAGAGCAGGAGCCACAGGGAACCATAGCCAATGATCCCTCTGACCTGTAACAACAAGATAAGTCTCAAGACTTCTTGTGCCCAGAATCTGCTGACATAACATTTCATCTACCGTTTGCTGATACAAAGTTACCTGCAGCCACTGCTCAAATTGATGGCTTCTCTTTCCCTTCCTCCTTGCAAATTTTCTAACAGTGCTTCTCCTTGGTAGAACTTAGGTTGGAATACTACTAGTAAGAGTTTGAGAAATGTCTCATAGGAGAGAGAACTTAGTTGGGTGAGAACAATGCTGAGTGTCAATAGGTAATATTTGGCACAGTTTCTAAACCATTTGGCATGCTTTCTGAGGTACCCCAATATGAAGGAGACAGATACTCTATGTGTGCAATCGTGCTGTAAAAAATAAAATCAGGTCAAATGTTTTAAAACGTGTAAATTATAATACAAAACAACTTACAAACTGAGAGATCTCAAACTGAAAATGGTAGGGGGAAACTCAGAGGCATGGCATTATAGGCTGGCTTATAAAGCAAAAATTAAATTGTTTATCTTTTACAGTGATTTGTTATTACCATGGAGGTTTTCAGACAACAGACTGGTTAAAAATCATCATCTTACACCATTTTTGGAAGACAACGTAAGTTTTATTTACAATTTTCAGAGGCATTTACAGGAAATAACCTAAGTTACTCTTTCATTGTCTAACTGGTTTTGTCTGCTCAGAGGATTCTTAAGCCTGATCTTCATTTTATTTTGTTTTAACAATCCATTCATTCATTGTGTCTGTTGGATTTAAAAAGTGCCTGAACTTCTAAATAAGATAAATTACGTAAAATACTTGTGACTTATCTTATTCTCTTGACTCTATTAACAAATCTCAATTGTGAGTTCCTTGCAATATCCTTCAGGTTACTAAAGAGACTGCATGGTAGCACTGTCAGGCTAGATGTTCTGACAGTCCCAACATCACAGAGCAAATGTAGGCTTGCATAAATGTCCATGTACTTCAAAACAGATTTCTGCATCAGGACTCTGAATATTCCTGGAAACCAGTATCAACAACATTTCTGAAAAACCAAGCCTTATTCTTCCCAAGTGCTTTTGCTTTGAGCACTATCCAAGCTATTGGGGACAGTCACATAAGAGCTACTGTAGACATAGAATATTATGTAAAAATTATTACAATTAATCAGTCCTCAAAACATTAGGCTTATATTTTCTCCTTAAAAGTCTTCATATTTTTAAATACTCTTTAAAACAGTCAGTAACTTCAACTTATTTTATACTGACTTTCAGGTAGTATAGAAAAAGAAGGCCCCTTCTTAGGTCTTTCTGATTGTCTCCTATAGTTGCCTAAAGTGGCTTCGTATCTCACCAGACAAACATTCATAAAGTTTAGCTTTGCTTAAAATATGAGAGATGTGGCTTTTATTTGGCTAGACTAGTTTTAGAAATGTGATACCACATAATACAAGTGTTCATTCTTTAACAATCCACAGATTCCTGAAAAAGAAAAATAACTCATATTCTACAAAATCATGCACTAAAAATAATTGGTGACTTAAGAAAATGGAAAGCTAAGCCACAGACTGGGATAAAATCTTTGCAAAACATATATCTAATGAAGAACTTAGATCTCAAATACATAAAGAACTCATAAAATTCAACAATAAGAGCACAAATAACCCAATTAAAGAGTGGAAAAATCTGAACAGATATATACAAAGAAGATATACAAATAGAAAATAAGTATATGAAATTACCATTAACATCAGATGTCACTGGGAGTTGAAAATTCAAACAATAATGAGAAACCACTGCATATTATTGGAATGGCTAAAATCCAAAACACTGACAACACTAAATGTTGAAGAGGATGTGGAGCAACAGGAGCTCTCATTCATTACTGCGGGAAATACAAAATGGAGCAGCCACTTTGGAAGACAGTATGGCAATTTCTTACACAGCTAAATATAGTCTTACCATAGAATCCAACAATCGTGCTCTTAGTTATTTGCCAAAACGAGTTGCAAATGTATGTCCACACAAAAGCCTGCACACAAATGTTTATAATATCTTTATTCATAATTGCCAAAAATTGGAAGCAACCAAGACATCTTTTAATAGGTGAATAGATAAATTGTGGCAGATCCATGCAATTGAATATTATTCAGTGATTAAGAAAATGAGCTATCAAGCCATGAAAAGTCATGAAGGAATTTTACATGCATGTTGTTAAAGGAAAGAAGCCAGTTTCAAAGGCCAACAGATGGACTCTATAGGTACATTCTGTATGACTCTATGCATACATTCTTGAAAAGAGAAAACTACGGAGACAGTTTTCAGATCAATGGATTCCAGGGGCTTGTCAGGGGAAGAGGAAAAAATAAACAGGGGATATTTAGGGATGTGAAACTATTCTGCATGAAAATATAATGGTGAATATATGACATTATACACCCTTCAAAACTCATAGACCTGACAACAAAATAAATGAACTCTAGTGTAAACTGTGTACTTAATAATAATGTAACAAAATTGTTTTATCAACTGTTAACAAATGTACAACACTTATGTAAGATGTTAATAACAAGTGAAACTGTGGGAAAAGGGATGGGAGATTTGGGAACTTTCTGTACTTTCTGACTTTTCTGTAATCCTGAAACTGCTCTAAAAAAAATTAAGTCTATTTAATAGCAAAAATAACTGGAAAGATTTAGGGAAAAAATTACATTGGAGAAAAAAGTGTAAAACTCACATAACATCACAACCAGAGCACTGCAAAAACATTTACAAAGCTAAGAAAATGCTTACACTGTTACAAATGAAAGTTATGATATATATTTCAATATATTTAGAACTTCTTTGTTAAGAAAGAATGATAGGATAAATATAAGGAAAGGTTGAGTTATGAAAACAAGGACAAATGTACAAAGATCAGGAAGAATTGTGCAACATGGATTTTCAAGACAGAACATGTGGTCAAATTAAGCCAAGAGGAAAAGGAGGAGCCAATGAGTGTTGTATATAGGACTACTTTACTCCACAGCTTACTGCCTTCAGCTGTGTTAGTGGACTTAGACTGCAACTGCCTTTACTTGGTAGTCAAAACATTAATGTATTGGAGAAAATCAGGTATAAAACAACTGATTTCCACATTCCATTGACATTCCTATTTGCCAATTATTTTTTAAAGGAGTCCTATTACAGAAGCATACATTAAGATAGAAAAGAAAACTACTCTTGTTTCTCTGTTTCTTTAGCAGAGCAAAATAACTTAAGCTAACCTCTATATATTATACTGTAGTTACGGCTCACACATTTGTGGAGATTGTGCCCAAGGTACCCTCTCATAGTCATTAAATTCAACAGTAAATATAGTAGAGGGCTTAAAGTACACTTTAAATGAAACAATTGAAGGCATTTGAGCAGTAAAACTAAAACCAACTAAATGAAACTTCATTTAAATAGATCGCTCTGAACTGAAACATTTAGTACATTTTTCTTTGCAGAAAAGTTTACCAGAAAACATAACATCTTATTTTCAGTGGAACTCATCAACCAGACCACCATTAGATCATTAACTACACTAAAGTGTCATCATGTTTCAATTCACTTAGGAGTCCATGTACTTAGATAATTTCTTCACTGTTGACAAAATCCCACACAGTCATTTTCTAATCAAATCTAATTATCCTATTACTATACTCTCTAATCTTATTTCAGCACTTCAGCCTTGGCTTACTTTTGAGATATCAAATGGTAAAAATGACCTAAAGGATGATCTCCAAGGGAAAAAAAATAGAAAACTAATGGGGTGGCTTTAAAAAGTGTAGGAGTTTAAAATATTCAATACTTAGTTGTAAGACAGGGAATTAGATCATGTGCCATTCATTTACAGCAGATTTTTTAGTAGGCTGTTTAGATTACCTTGGGATTATAGAAATGAACTTACAGAGATCCATGAATACCTGGGCTGTGAGCAAAACATCTGTATATATGCTTGTTTAGGAAGAGGGCCTACCTTTCTTAGTGAAATTTCAAAATCATTCTTATTCCTCCCCCCAGAGAAATGATTAAAACTGTGTATGTAGACAAAAAAAGGTATGGGTCAATAAAAATGACACTCAAATACATAGGAATTCATTGTTTGAAAAATTAAGAGCTGCGTTTTGAATATAGCTAGTTACCTAACATCATCTAAAGCCAAAAAAAAAAGCATTGGATCAATCTTAAAAAATAGTTAAACCAAAACTAATCTATAGTTGTCTTTAATACATTTTTTTAAATTTCACATTTGAAAGATATGCTATCCAATGTTTGAATTAATAGCAATATTCAAATCAAAAAGCACAGCTACATTAAAATATTTTAGTTCAGGAATAGCAATCAAATCTCAGCCAAACAAGATGTAGATTTTCCTCAAAAGTTCAAAGTAACATCAGCCTAATAAGTTGAGAGCAAGAAGTCAACTAGAGCAAGGATGACAAGAATTTATGCAAGCTAAATTTTCCGCTGAAAAGAATCCTGAGCTCAATTGTTAGAGGAAATTCTTGTTTTTGGTTTCTTTGTGACAACCTCATTGTAGAATGTGTTCATTAGAGTGGGGCTGTCATGCTTTCTAAATTCCTATAGTTACCATGTCTTCTAACAAGGTGGACAATTAACACTTCCAGTCTCTGAGATAACAGAAAGCCTTAGTCATATAAGGGACACTATTTAGAGTATAAAAAGAGAAACAGGATAACAAAGCGGTCTGAAATTAAGCTGATGTGTAATTATATAAACTGAAAATTTCTTCTGTCATGTTGACATTTTAATATTTCATCATTATAATTTAGATTTGTATCTGCATAGCTAATTAGATGATACATTTTTCTGTATTTTACTATCCTATTAATAAATTTATAAAACAACCATATACACTCACCCAATAGTCAACATATTTTGACCAAAAAGCAGAGAAATTTACTTATTTTTTTATTTACTCCACTTCTGATTTTATGAGGAATTTACATGAGGTCACACATTAAAACAGATAATTAAAAGAAAATAATATATCATTACCTGAGAAACCAAATTGCAGTAGTTTAGAATGAAAAAGAACAGATATAAAAGCCTTAAGATCCTATACAGCTATTCATTTTCAGCTCTTAATTTGACTCTGACATCCCTAGTAACTAAAATAAATGCTAATTTTAATTAATTACATGATTTTCATTGTATATATGAACAAAACACACCACTTTACCTAGGTTGATTTAAGTGAGGAGGATGGGTATGAAAGTTTTAATTCATGAAACTGGTTTTGAAAGAAATGCTTTGAGGGCTATGTCTCTGAAATCTAAACTCCTTAGGCATCTTTATATAAGAAACAGTAACTTACATATTGACCAAGACTTTAATAACAGCCCTGTAGTAGACCTAGAGCAGGTTGTGTGAGCTGGGAGCTGTTTCACATAGAATTACTGTGTATATACTGAGAGCATAATGTCAAAGCATAGTAAAGGCAATTTCTGTTTGGGGAACTTCTAAACAATGCCACCCACATATATACCTTTCTAATAACTTGAATTGCTCTGAAAATAAATCATAGACGCTCCAGAAATACAGATTATCCACGTGTGCTTTAGAAAGGCATTCATATATTTCATGTCTTTCAGCAATTTGTTTGTAAATGTTGGGCAGCAGATATTGGCAAGAATCTGAAATACAAATATTCTGTGTTTTACCTTTTTGCAATTCTTCATCCCTTCTTTGGCAATAGATAACAAAATATGAATAGCATATTAATCTGTGTTTGTATAGAACTTTGTAGAACTTGCCATATTATTTTGCCATGTATCTCCTCAAGGGCAGAGACCAAATCTCATTTATCTTTGTATTTCAGCATCTAGTAAAGAAAGTGGAGCCTAATGGATTTTTAATCCATTATGCTTTCCTGAATAAGCCATTTTGCACACTTTTGAGGGCATTGTTACCTTTCATATAGCTTGAAAAAGGTCAGGGTCATGCACCAACTAATACCAGGGAACCTAATTTATAGTCAAAGCTTTCCTTTGGCATCAATTCAGAAGCATTAATGGGAAACACTAGCAACCTTCAAAATGTAAGCATGTGTGTCAATAACATGACAGATCAACATTCACATAAATGATCTATGAAACAAGAGCCATATTCTACCTTCTAAACTAAATGATAATTAAATCTGTAATATCCAGATTTTAAAAATCAGCTTTGTGGGCATTCAACATGGAGCCATATTTAAAGTTATAAAATAAAAAGTCAAAGTCTCCAACCATGATAATAAATTATTGGAGTGGAGCTCATATATCCACAGCAGAATCATGTAACTTAGTTCTGCTCCCTTGAGCTGGGCCTGCAAAGAGAATGAATGATTGTAATCATAGTATGGAAATACAGAGTCAACTACCAACCAGACAATGTCAAAATCAAAATCAAATGAATCAAATTCATAAAAATTGTTAATACTGTACAGACAAAATGTTTACATGATTAACCTCTGAATTAATTTTGAATAAATTATTTTTGTAACAGTTTGGAAACATACATAGGATAATAGATGGAATAAAATGATCTCCTTTCCCACACTCTATGAGTGACTGCATTGCCAGAATACAATATCTCTAGCATGTTGCCACTTTATTTATTTCTATTTATTTATTTATTCTTGAGACAGTGTCTCGCTCTGTACCCCAAGCTGGAGTGCAGTAGCACAATCAATCACCGCTCACTGCTGTCTCTGCCTTCCGGTTGAAGCGATTATCCTGCCTCAGTCTCCTGAGTAGCTGGGATTACAGGTGCCCGCCACCATGCCCAGCTAATTTTTGTATTTTTAGTAGAGACAAGGTTTCGCCATGTTGGCTGGGCTGGTTTCGAACTCCTGACTTCAGGTGATTCTCTCTCCTCAGCCTCCCAAAGTGCTGGGATTACAGGCATGAGCCACCACTCCCAGCTGCATCTTGCTACTTTAATTGGTCCCAAAACTAGTAATATCTGGCATCACCTAGGAAATTGTCAGAAAAGCACAATCTGAGACCCAAACCCACACCTACTAAATCAGAATCTGCATTTTAGCAAGATCATTGGAGATTCATGTGCATGTTATATTTCAAGAAGCACTGTTCCAGCACAGAGCACTAATAAAGAATATGGCCCTTGGCAAGCTTAAAAAGAGTCAATAAAACCATGGCCATGGAAATGTCCCTAGGAGAAGATACGTCTTTCACTCTTCCATAGGGGGCAGTTAGTGCTCCTACATTTTAGGACATTTTAATAGTTACAAATCAAAAACAACTTTTAAAAAATGTGGTCTTATATGAACTCTCAGTTATACATTGCCCATTTTTTGTAAGACCATTATATTTCCCAAATCAGTAAATCCTCTAAATAATATAATCATAAAGTTTGCCTTCACTTTGTTACTGAACGTAGTTACGCTTATTACCTGTTTTCAACTTATTTTCTTTAGATGATGTCCCAATTCTGTATCTACCTTTCCCCCAACCACTCACAGTCCAGTAGTTATAAGGTGAATAATTAAGGTTGTAGGGAATCTACAAGTACTTGCAACTTGTAGGTTCTGGATATAATAGCAAAACATAAATAGAATTTGGAATCCTATAACTGAGTTTGTTGAAACGACCAGACCCCTAAAATAAGGATAAAGAGCAAGGTTTCTGTTGTTTTGTTTTGCTTTGCTTTGCTTTGCTTTGCTTTGCTTTGCTTTGCTTTGCCTTGCTTTCATGTCGGTTAGGTTTAGAATCTACATATTCAACACTGTTTAGAAAACGTTAACTGGCAGCTATCTAGAGCTTTATCAGAGCGTTTCCTGGCTGCTATTTTGTGGTCTTCTAGCTCGTATTTGGGAGCCAGGTCTCACCACGAACCATTTCAGCACTACGGACAGCGCCTAGGCGCCTTCTCCTGGGAACCGAGGGGGATTCAGTTGTGTTTGGGTGGAAGAGGGAAGGGAAAGAGTAAAGAAAAAAGAGCTCCAAACGACACATTCAGTCTCCAGTTAAACCAATACACCTTTCACTCCTGAATTTTCCTTGCCAGATAAGAAGAAACATGTAAGAATGTAGCGCCTACTGTTCGACTGAAACGGCTGTCACCAAAGCACAGGAAAATGCCCGCGGCACAGCTAGGAATGCAGCTAAGAGAGCAAAACAAGGATTTCAGCAGTGAATTAATTAAACCCCACTGCCTTAGTAAACAAAGATAGTGATGAAATCTAATTGCTAACCTTCAGGATGTGTCATGAGAGAAAAATGAGCGTCTATTTTTTTTTTTCTTCCTCTCTTTCTCTTTCTTTTAGCAGGAATAGACAAAGCCTGTTGCTGCTGGAGCCGATTCCCTTCCCCTCCTCATCTCCCACCTCTTTTCAGCCTCACATACACACACAGACGCTGTCAGGGACACACGCGAGCGCAAATATTTACACACTGCCACACAGAGGAAATCCATGCACGTTTTCCTGCAAACACACGCGCGCGCGCACACGTACTTCGGCGGACGCCCACGTCCTCTGTCTCACCGACAGACACAGACATTTACACTCCTAGGCCAGGAAAGCGCTAGCCGGGGTCCTGTGACTCCACGCAGGTTGCAGAACACGCCTTCTACATTGTTACTGAACCGATCAGCGAACACAGATAAACGTGCCAACACTTAAGTCTACTGGCTGGACTTCATCTCCATGGCAACAAGCATGGAAGGTGAGACATCGCTGCCTGCGAAGTAACTTTCTCCCCCTTCCCTCCGCATTAACTGACAGCGTTCCAAATGCAGGTCCAGATGAGCAGCATGCCCTCATTCTCTTGCATTTCTAAAGCAAAACAGCGAGTGGTGGGGTGGTGGGTGGGGGAGCCAGCAGGTCTGATAAGTTCACGTTCTGAAGGGGAAACAGCAGCCCTAATGCTAGTGCCACTGCTGATGCGGCTGCCAAGGGGGGGAAAGTGTTGTGTACGTGCAGATTGCTGATGCTTCTCCCATAATGTTTTGTAGGAAGTTTCCATGCTTCTTCGGCTTAGTACGTAGAAAGAGACCTGGAGACAAACAACGCAGAATGATGATGATGGTCTAGATTTTTTTAATGAGACATTTGGAGAATTTTCAGACCAGGTTTCCCAGTGCTTTGGAAGGATTAAGTGTCAGAGTCCTTGAGCCATTCAAAGATTCTCTTGAGAGAGAAATTCTCTTAAGGTTGAAATCTGAGGGTTTGGGGATGGATTCTGGCAGATCCTAAGATTTGGGATCTCTGGAAAGCCCTGAAGTTTATGCATTTCACCATGATGAAGACATCTGGGTTTGTAATTTAAGGTTTTCCTTTGATTCCAACACATTTGATTCTTAATGATTAACTACCTCTGTGCAGATGTGGCTTCAATAATGCTTTTTTTCTTTCTTTTACTGGGATATAATAACATTTATATTTTGTGTGGAATGTGTATACGTGTGGAAGGGTTCATTATTTTTTAAGCTGTGTTTTCCTATATGTCTTATTTTATGAAATTATGAATGTCATCATTAGCAGTAGAGATTATTGTATCTAATGGCCAGTACTAAAATACTTTCCACCTAGAATATCATATTCCACTCTAATAGTTACTATTTCAGGCTTACTATTTGGAATACCATTACTAGATACATAAATAAGAGGAAAAACCTGTTGATTAAAATTAAACACAGGGGGTTCTTTCTGTAATGGGTACACATTTTTAACATTGGGTTCTGTAATTGTACATTATTGCATGATGATTAAATGATTTTATCTGAAAGGTGTATTTTTATATCTCTAGTAAGGTTATGTCACAGAAGAAATAAACATCACTAACAATATTCATGAATATGAAAGGCTGCATTTCAGGTATAAAAATACTATGCTTGACTACTTACAAGGGTATGATTTGTAAGTACTGATCACCGGAAGACTTTGTTTTTTACTTACTGGATGCTAACTACAAAGCAACTTCATGAGATTTGGGCTATTTGATATCTACAGGAATACCCTTGGCCCAATCTTATGACTCATCAGTACTTAGAAATCTTAGTGCCTGACAATTGTCATGAAGGAAATGTACTTTCAACCAAGTTACTCATTGCCAAAGTACCTAATCATTTATTCCAGTGAATATGGCTTAAGACAGTATTTTATTATTTGCATCAGTAGCACTAAAAGATACTTAAATATTTTAATCATTCTTCATATTGATCCTGATATTTAAATTGTGCATTGTTGATTTTACCCATTTTTTGTGGTGTAATATACTACAAATAATTTTTACCATTACCCAATTTTACATTCTACTTATTTTTGAAAATTTATTTTTTTTCTTAACTATTTTTATATGGATTTTTTAATTTGTGGTTTTGGAACATCATCTAAATTTTCTCAGATTTCTTTCATTTTCTATTTCCCAGCAAACAGGATATTAAGATGATGCTTCTCCAGGGCTAGGTATTACAGAGTCTGTCGTGAAGAGCTCTTCCAGCAATTAGAAAGAGTGAAAATGCATATTTTATCTATAACTGTTGAGTATTTTGAATACCTTAGTAATTGCGAAGAAATCAGTTTTGTAACTGGAGACTTTTACTTTTAACGATATGTTGTAGTTAACAATATTTTTATATCATACTGTGCTCTATATCAACAGAAAAGCAGAAGACTTGGCACACTTAGCAGTATATTCTCAAAAACTTTAGATTTGGTATTGAAATGAGACAAGTTGTTCATTTCACAGAGCAAGTAAAATGGAAAGTTTCGGCGATCATTTGAAAAATTTAGGCCAGAAATACTGGTATTTCAATTGCTACATATATAGTTTAAATTACCAAAACCATCTATTTGCTGAACATATTGTTGGGCAATTACTTAACTTTTTACTTCTATTTGCTTGTGTAGTCATGGCCTGAAGCAACGGCCAGAGTTTTTAATCAGCCTTTGAATATTACTTCAGTTGCTCTCCTTGACCTGCATTTTGTTTTCATCTTTAGTATAGACTTTTATGGTAAATATAAAAGCCTGTTTTCCCTTTTAATATATTAATAAAACATTTGTTCTTTCTCAACCCATGTTTTGTTAAAAATGGAAATTTTTGCAATTCTTTGAACCCAGGTAAATTTATGTGGTGCTTTCTTTAAAAACTGAATATGCAGTCATGTCTTCATTATAGAAAGTGATTCGTCTTATGATTTAACCTTCTGTACCTTTAATTTTTGACTAAGTAAAACTTATTTTCTGTCAAGTTTATTTACCATCTGACTCTGTTTTCTCATTACCCTCACTCCTAACTCTCATTCAATTTAGTGTCCCTCCTCAACCCTCAACTAAATTTTTATAATGATGAAGTAATTCTGAATGCCAACCATAAGACTCTGTTTTCAGTGCTTAGTTTTCATCACCACTGCAGAATTTGACACTATTTACTAATGCCTCCTTCTAGAAAGCCTGGCCTCCTTTATTGTGGTAAACTTTCTGCTGCAGATTTACTCATGATCCTTCTTATATAACTCCACTAGAAGATTCTCCTTGTAGGAGAGGCATTCCTTGAAGCTCCTTGCTAGGCTTCGTCCATCTTTAATCATTTCTGGTAACAGAAAATAGACTTTAATGGAATTACAATAAAATTGCTCTATGGATCAATCTAGAACAAGCCCATCTGGCTTTCTACAAGATAATACTTCAAATATTTGAATCTACCTATTGTCATCTTTGGTCTTCCCTTTCCTAGGCAAAACTCAACAATTATTTTCTTTAAGGTTTGATCTGCAAATACTTCCATATACTGGGCTCTCTCCATCCTGGATACAGTCTTCTACACAAACATTATTTAACAACAATACCTTAAAATATTCTATCCATCAAAAATTTAATGCTAGACAAAATGATCTAGATTAATGTATTGAAAGCTGTCAATTGAGTGCTTACTATGCATCACACGAGTACCGCAAATTCACCAAGTTCCGAAGTAAACTCATCATTTACTTTCTAATTCTATATTTTGCTCTTATTTTCTTTGTTTTGATCAATAAAAACACTATATTTATACTTGCTCAAACTTAATAGCGAGGAATCGTGTTTGATGCTTCCCTCTCCATGGGCCCACTACTTTCTAAATCCTACCCCTCCTATTTTTCCAAATATCTTTCCAACCTCTACCATCTTGTACACATCTAATCCCTAGTGTAGACCCTCATTGCTTCTCACCTGAACCATTTCTTTCCCATGATGCTTTGTCTTTCAAAATTATGTCTATTTCAGTCTCATCATCAAGCCACTCAGCCTTTAAGCAAATAAATTTCAAACTCAGCCTGGCAGTCAAAATATTCAAACCTACCTTTCCAATGCTTGGTTTCCTATACTCCCTCTAGCCTATACCAAATTGCTCACTGTGCTCTGAATAAATCCAGTACATTTCTGTCTTCATATTTATTGTCATGCTCTTTTCTTCTTTTCAGGTCTGAATTGTTCTGTCTCTCAAGACTCAGTTCAAATACAATCTCTTGCGAAAAAACTTTCCTGATCCCTCAGTGGGTAAAATCTTGATTCCATCTAAACTTGTTTATCCTTTTTGGATCTTCTTTTTTTTCACCAAGATGTTGAAGACAATAATATCAACACAATGTGGGCATTGTGGGAATTAAATAAAATAATGTATGTAAAGCAGTATTTTGATACACAGTAGATTTTAAATACAAGTTTGTTTCCTCCTCTTTTTTATTGCTTTTGTAAAAGCCTGCATTGCTGTTTTTTTCCTTGTGTATACATGGCTCTTCTCTCTTACTAGCTGGAGTCTTTTTGAATAGAGGGGTCCATGTCTACTAGAGCATAGTAGCAACCCTATAAATATTTTTCAATGAAAGTATAGTGAATATATGCAGTCTTACTTTATATGTGGTCTGACTGATGCAATTATAATAATGTTATTACTTTCTATCATTTGCACCCCCATTCAGTTTTAAGACATTTGCTTTTGTAAGCCACGACCTCATGTCTTTGGCTCATACTAACTTGATTAAGGGCAGCTTACAGATTTATTTTACATGAACTGCCAGGTCATTGTCTCCCCTGTTTGGGGTTGGTGCATCTTCTTCCCTCCCACTTAAACGTTGGGCTTTAGAAGTGTTTCTATTAAATTTTATGCCGTAGTTTCAACCCAAAATTCTAGGCATCAGCATTGTTTTGAGCCTTTATTCAATGTGCATCATATTTCAGCCAAGCTTTGTCAAATTTATTAAGCTTCACTTCAATATCTTCAACTTAGTCATTCTTAAAAAACACTGAAAAGTATGTGTAGATAAAGTTAAACCTTTGTAATACCACACTGGAGACCCATCTCCATGATCACAGAACCCAATATTTATTAGGGTATTTCAGAGCTATGAATCTACATAAAAATATTATTATC